CTGGGCGCGCTTCTCCTTCTGATCGAGGACAAGACTAAGAACATCGAAGCTGAATTGGGGAACCTCAATACACAGCTTTCGAAATTCCTCTTCAGCCTCGTGGCGAAGAATGTGGCTCCTCAGGGCCCAGAAGGTGGCCACTGGCTTTCGGATAGTAACATCGTCGACCGGAGTATTCATGTAGACATAGCGAGCATATGCGATCTCTCCATGCGAGGTGCTGTTGATACGGTGAATCTTCGAGTGTGCTAGTGTCTTGAGCGCAGGGATCCCCAATTTGTCGGCCAAGGTGTATACTCGCGCATGCTTCAACAATTGTTCGCCACTATCATCTATTTCGCCGGAGACTGCTTCTTGTTCGGTATGGGTTTCAAGCTGGGAGGCCGAATAATCGCGGGTATACTGAAATTGGAGGAAATAACCAAAGGCTTCCACGTTCTCCTCGAGAAGCTCAATGCGACGCTATCGGATGTCAGAGCGCGGCTATGCAGAAGAGTAAATCGCATCAATTACTTACAGCGCTCGAGTCACCCAAGGCAGTGACCTTTTCTGCAAGAATAGGCGACTCCAAAAGCAAACTTTGATGTGCCGACAAGCTAGTCTTGCTCTCTCCAGTCCCGACAACCAGTTCCACGATAGGTGACTTCAGGAAGCTGGAAAACTGTAAGTTCAAAGGTCATGTAGGAAGACAAAACATGCAGGCACGGATATTATAGTATTGCTTTGAAGAAAGGATACGGGCTCTTACTCAAGGAATTGGAAGCCGGGGTTTTTCTTGGGGGGTGCTGGCGCCGTTTCTGGCTCAGCTGCGCCCGCGTCTGGCAGATCGATGTCTTCAGTGGAGTCTGCCTGGCCTTCGTTCACTCCACTCGAAGGCACAGTTACATCTACATCACGGTCGCCAGTATTTTGTGTAGGGTACGTGCTTTCGCTTTCTTTTCCGATGTTCGAAGAGGTCTCCGGCGCGCCAACTTGAACCTGAGGCGGGTCCATAATCTCGTAGAAACTCAGATGCGCGTTGGGATATGAAGTTCCAGCTACTGCGGCTAGACAAAGAAGGATGGGGTAGGTGTTTAAGAGGACAATTAATCTGCCGCTGAGCAGCAGAGACACAAATGCCTCAACAAGACGGATAGTAGAAGTGAACGAGCGGTTGTAGCTCTGGGGTCAGGACTATGACAGGAACCACAACAGTGTCAATCTTATCCGTCAGTACCTAGGTCACCTACTACTTTGGTACTAGTAGTACGGGTGTGGTAAGGTACGGTTAGCAAGCTAAGCTAGGCCTGAAAGGGACTTTTGACAAACATGATAAGTAGGTGAGGTCCTTTACAGTAGGTGAAAAACAACATAGTCATTTCCCAATCTGTTCAGTCTGAGACATCCTTTTGCTAGTACGTAAAAGAAATATGCAAAACAAAATAAGACTGCCTTTATGCTGTAGATGGTAGATAGTGTAGGCCACGGCTCAAAAGGTCCATAGTACATGGCTTACCGTGCAATTGAATCGAATTGGTGGATTTAGGTTCCACTTGGGAAGTTCTTCTCCAATCTCCATAATATGGACTCCGTGCGGACTCCGTACCTGCATGGGTAGGCAAAATCAGGCAGTTAGCAGCGACTGAGTTCCACGCTATACACAGGAATGATTAGTAGCACGTCGTACTAGTAATACGTACCGGCTGAACAGTAGTTACTACCTTGCAATGGCTATTACTAGTACTAGTAGCCCCTTCTGTTGCCGAAATGACTACTCTGTTATTCTTTTGAAGAAGACGTGGAGTCTTAATTGTCGAGGACGTCTCTAATTGACAGGACCGAAAGGTCTATCATCTTCAGTATATCATTGATGCGATGTGATTATAGATATGTATAGGGAGAGGGAGAGGGAGAGAGAGAGAGAGAGAGATTTGTATAGGTAAAACACAATTTAACACCAAGAGTAAGTCCAGTTATACACTGGGTACAAAGGTATAAACAGCAAAGGAAGGCATAGGAGGAGGTAATAGTACGTAGTATCATCCATCAAGTGCGGGGCAGGGATTGTGTTGGAACGTGAATGTAACAGAAATTAAGAAAGAGACCCAACTTGGGAAGAGACCCGAGTCTTCCGCCCGCAGAAATCGGGTTGATAGGATGGTTTCCCCCCCTAGTAGTCCCTCTAAGTAGCTAAGCTAAAAATCCCACCCAAAATAAATACAATCATAGTCATATTAAGAGAACGGTAGGAGGATAGTGAAGAATTTTTACGTTCTCTTTTCCATCCAGTCGTCCGGCCGGTAATATAAGAGGGGCACTCTACTATTCCTCTCACTTTATTCTGGCGGATTAGCTCCCCACGAGTTCCCAGCTTTACCATTCTGAAGGCCAACGTCAACTTCTCGACTCAAGTCCGGTGGTCTCTCCGACTGCCCCAGATTCACAGACGTAGTATGGCGACTAGCATCAACCCCCCTAGGGATCCTAATACCCTGAGCAACTATAACAACTGGATATGCACCCACATCACTGCCAACTTCGACATCCTTTTTGATCAGAAAAAGCTCGTGGGAAATGTCATCCACAAGCTCAAGTCAACTACCAACGGTGATTCGAAGGAGATTATTTTGGACTCTAACCATGTGACTATCAGAGACGTCAAAATTGACGGCAAGCCTTCCGACTGGGAGCTTCTCCCTCCGTTGGAACCTTACGGCTCTGCCTTGAAGATCAAGCTCGATCAGGGAGTGAACTTGGACGAAACCATTGACGTTGAGGTACATATGAAATCCTGAATACCAGAGACTTCCCTCGCTGTTACCTGGCCTAACACTGCAGCCCCTTTAGATCTCTGTTCAGACTACTGAAAAGTGTACCGCACTCCAGTGGCTGACCCCGGCTCAAACATCCAACAAGAAGCATCCATACATGTGTAAGCCAGTTCAGCCTTTCTCCCGCCCAGTATCTGTGAGAATTCTCAGACCAGGCGTGATTATTAAACTCATTGGAGCTGCTTACAAGAGTCCAATCTAGTTTCCCAGTGCCAGGCGATCCATGCACGATCCATATTTCCCTGCCAGGATACACCGGATGTTAAGAGTACCATCGACTTTAACATCTCGTCCCCCCTTCCTGTGATTGCTAGTGGCTTGCCTGTTCGGGATGGCCTGGGTGTCTCGAAAGCTGAGGGCAGATCTTTGTACCAGTTCCATCAACGTGTCCCAATCCCGAGCTACCTCTTCGCTCTAGCCAGCGGGTAAGCCTGTCGTCTATCCACAAATTCCCATCACCACTACGTTGGCTCACGAATGGCAGTGACATTTCAGAAGCTCCAATCGGACCCCGCAGTGTTGTGGCCACCAGCCCCGACAAGGTCCAGGAATGCCAGTGGGAGCTCGAAGCCGATACGGAGAAGTTTATTGGTGCAATCGAGGTTTGTGAGCCGCCTGGTGCAATGGACCATCTCTGACCAAGACAGAAAATCGTATACCCTTACGCCTGGGGCGAGTATAATGTCCTGATTCTCCCACCAAGCTTCCCTTACGGAGGAATGGAAAATCCCATCTTCACGTTCGCCACTCCCAGTATTATCTCTAAGGTACGGATTAGAAGATGTCTTGTGCAATATATGCTGTCTGATGCTTAACGTGACGGGTTAGGACCGAGAAAATATTGATGTCATTGCCCACGAACTCGCGCACAGCTGGAGCGGCAACCTCGTGACCAATGCATCCTGGGAACATTTCTGGCTGAACGAAGGCTGGACTACCTATTTAGAGAGGCGGGTAAGCTTGTTTTCTCTGCCCCTTCCCGCCGGCTGAGGCAGCATAATCCTTTCTTTTTGCTGACAATGCTCTAGATTCTAGCTGCCGTGTGAGTTTAGCATCATGTCTTGCCACCGTAACGACTTACTAATTGAAACTAGACATGGGGAACCATATCGGCACTTCTCCGCCATTATAGGTTGGAAAGCACTCGCTGACTCCGTGGAGCATTTTGGGCATGACCACGAGTTCACTAAATTGATCACGGACCTCAAGGGCGAGGACCCCGATGATGCCTTTTCTAGCATCCCCTACGAGAAAGGATTCAACTTCCTTTTCCACCTGGAAACACTTGTAGGAAAGCAGAAGTTCGACCGTTTCATCCCTCACGTGCGTTATTCAGGCTCATAAAGCAAACCGAACCTACTGACTTAATTTTGATCTTTTAGTACTTTACGGTGTTCAAGGGGAAGTCACTAGATTCCTACGAGTTCAAATCGACTCTCTTGGAGTTTTTTGACGCTGACGCAGAAGCGTCTAAACTACTAAATGATCTTGACTGGGATACCTGGTTCTATGCCCCTGGGCTACCTCCTAAGCCTCAGTTCGATACATCACTTGTTGACATTGTTTACGAACTTGCCCAGAAGTGGAAGTCCCTTCCGGAGACCTCCTTCAAGCCGCAGCCCAGCGATATCGAGCACTTGAGTGCAAACCAGATCGTCGTTTTCCTGGAACAAATGCTTCTTCTTGAGCGGCCGCTTACTCCTGAGCTGTCGAAGCTCATGGGCGAAGTTTACGGACTTTCCAAGAGTGAGAACATAGAAGTCGCCAATCTGTATTTCCAGGTGGGCCTGAAAGCTGGCGATGAGAGTGTTGTCGATCCTGCGACCGAACTACTAGGCAGAATTGGAAGAATGAAGTTTGTGAGACCACTGTAAGCTGCCTTGCACCGAAAAGACAATTTATGGCGCTGACAGAGCAACCAGGTTCCGGAGCTTGCAGAGAGTCAACCGTGAGGTTGCAGTCGCAACTTTCGAGAAGCACAAGGACTTCTACCATCCTATATGCCGAGCAATGGTTGAGAAGGATCTGTTTGGAAAGAGGGACGTCTAGCAATATACATGAACCCATCGCTTCCTGACTGATTCACATAACGGACAGAAAAATAATTTGAACGCATATCTGAAATAATATTCCGGCAGTGTCAACTAAGCTTATTAACTACGATAGTGATAGCAAACAAACAAATACTTCTCCACAAAACATGGAATCATGCAAGGTCAAGCCCAATATGTTACATTATAATCAGTAGACATGATAGTTATACGTACAGAAGGCGAACAAAAGAGCGCCGATAGGTAGACTCGAGCTTATAATATCACCGCTTGCTATCGACCATCTTTTGATCGACTTCGGAATGAGAGAAAATACCTGGCTTCCCGTTCCTTTGCCGGTCTAGTTGGAAGACCAAGTCCGCTTCGTGCACCTGAGAGAGTTCGAAAAGTACTCGCCGCATATACGCAACGACCTGAGCTATCTTCGACCAATCCAAGTCCTTACCGTCTGGTGCAGTATGGCTCGCTTTCCAGAGGTTTCTCCAAACGGCAGCTCCCAGCACTGCATCTCCTTTGATTAGGCCTTCATCGTAGGCTGCCAAAACACCGCGCCATTGGATAAAAAGATCCTTGAGGAACTTATTGCGTATACCGCGGCTCGTCAACCCGTGAAGCACATCCATGCGATGCTCGGCACTATGTGAGAAGTGGTCGATCAAATGGCGTGAGTAGGTTTGAAGGCTATCGTGCGACGGCAACGCGCGCAACCGGACCGTCAACAAGTACATGTGCAGGAATGTAACCTGCGACCATGTTGAGAAAGTAGGAACGAGACCCAATTCTGGTGGATGATGCTCGTTAGCCACGCACCCCAAGGTACCACGCCACACCATTCATGAAGATGAAGACTACTAAATTAACTTACCTTCATACCACCATCCTTCACCTACTCCTAAGTCTTCCCCGGCACTTGTCTTGGGAACCTGAGCTCCTTTCTGAGACAACTGAGGTATCTTGTAGTCTGCTTGTCTGGAGCAGGCCTCGAATAGCTTTTGTGTCATTCCATAGGCGACATAGGTCTCTGCTGCAGTACCAGGGCGCGGCCCGATTGCGCGAGCTAGCTGGGAAGAATTTCGCCGACTTTGCGAAGGAAGAGCGAAGCATGAGGCCAGCGGTTGTTGCTGATGGCTAGTGCAGCGATGAGATACCGAGGGCTTCAAAGCATGAATCGATGTTAGATGTGACTGATTATACGCCTGTACCTGATATTATTGCCTTGTCAGACGGAATGTTATTCATATTGTCCTCTGTGCCAGATGAGGTCTTACCTGGGACCGCGGGCATTGAAAATTGTAGAGCCCCCGAAGGGACAGATTCTTCGGGCCTGCGGAAGGCATTGTTGATTGTCTGTATAGCACAACCCCCTAATTTGTTCTGGCCACTTTTTATACCCGTTTGGATCGTACGAAACCTTGTTGCGTGAAAATGTAGATGGGGGGTCTTCCTTGCTTACAATCCGAAAACTTGAGATTGCTCCATACTCCGGAGAAAGCTAGAAGCCCGCGGGATCAACGATGTTTGCACTGTTTGCCGCCAAGCGTTGCCGGTTCATCTAACTAGCTAACTAGTACGTCACGACTACTTCTTTATCAGCTACAATCCCTACCATATCCAGTGGAATGTGACAAGCCTAAAGCCCCTAGATATATAGGTAGGAATGCGGTTTCAGGCGATGGGCATGTCGAAAGTTTCCAAAAGGATAGTAAATAACCATTCTGTCTATATCACCTACCCCATTACTATGACGCTCTTTCGTAAACAAGGCCATGGTATATGAGCACTATCATGATAGTATCGTCATATATCATTCAACGTGAATCGCCGGGCTTCGGTCGATAATATCCCTAAGGGCCTTTTCTCACTGAGTAAAGATTATCGCAGGCAGGTCACCGCACGTGGTATTGCCGCGACCGCGCACTTCATTTTATCCGGACTACTGCTGGCATGAGTTGCCCTGAGTAGTACTGAAGCGACTCAAACTACTGAAGTAGCTCGCGCAAATCTGTGTGGTGAAATAGAGCGGCCATCCATATTCCGGTTGCACTTCCTACAACCAGTTGGAGCCGTGACTGTGAGTTGGGCCTCAGTGCGTGGTAGATGGGGGTAGACTGTGGTAGTGAGTATCCATTGCATTGGTGCTTCATTCATTGAGAGCCACCCTCTCTAAGCGCTTTTCGACAAGCGGGAGGATTTCCGAAAGCCTATTAGGGTCTCTCATGACGGCCGGCACATCGTCTCTGGTCGCTGCTAAGGTCTGAAGACTGATTAGTTCCCTGAGCCACTCAAATCGGATCTAGTACCCGAGATTAGAGAATGCGACAAGCTTACCCGTCTTACCGCCTCATATTCACATTCTCTAGATTGATATTCTCTGATGATCTCCATCTCATCGAAGTCAACGTAGACTCTCGTGTCCCGAAGCCGGAACAGAACGTTATCTAGCCGCATGAAGAACCTCGCAAGGAGAAGCAGCCTGGATGGCATGACTCGGATCTTGCATGAAAACATAGTAATGCCGTTATCAGCAAGTTCATCCTCGTAAAGAATGACGTCGTCATAGAACAAGATAGGGTCTGGCCGCTTCAACAGTTCGATAGGGATGGGCTTCGTTGTTGCTACGAAAGGCCGACTCCCAGGTTTCACTGTGCCCATGTAGTCCGTGGTGTAAGACCAATCGAAAGGTTTGACAACTTCTTTGATTCCTTCGTGAGTCTTCTCCCTAACAACCAGTCAGCCACAAATATGTGCGAGTGACCTGCGAGGCAAGCAAAGTTGATGCAGTACCTGCTCTTCTGCCATTCTCTCGAGTACGCGACTTTGAGCATCGATGTACCAGTTTTGTCCACACGGTCTAAGGCATCGAAGGCGTTGAAAGCTATGCCCCACGGGCTTTGTTCATGTTCAATCGCAACAAGATTGTCACCGAAAATCATTTCTGGTGGGGTTATTCCTAGTTCTTTCGTCATTTCCTCAATTGGATCCGCCTTGAGTATTGGCAGTTTCTGCGTGCTGATCTTGAATCCCTTGACCGTCACGGAATTGGGCTTCTGAAAGCTGGGCGAAGTTGTGGTACTCGCCATATTTGCTGACGCCGCGTTGCTACGTGAAGTCATGCTATGTTGTTTTGAGTGGGTGGCAAGCGACAGTGATGGCATATACACAGGCAGGAGAGAGAATATGAGGATAAGAAAGGAGTCGGAAAAGAGATAAAGGGTCCTTTTGATTCACAGGTATGCATCGTCGGCGTTCCCCATGGCCGGCCGATAGATCATACCCCGCGGTGTCGGAGAAAGAGGCGGTCCGAACTGTTGCTGGGGTGATGCGTCTGGAAACCAAACCGGATAAACATCCGAGCGTCGCTAGAGAGCTGCCAGTTCTCCCCAACCTTATTTATCTACTCACTCGTTCTCCATTGTCTTCCTCCAGCTCGTCATCTAGACTGCTTTCTTCTCTATAGACTCTCTAGGGCCTGACTATGACTTTGTAAGGCACGATAGTCCTGATAATTGCCTGCAAATCTCATTTAGCTCTTCCCGTCGCCAATCACTGTCAATTACATTATTCTCCATGGCCTCCAAGACATTGGAAGCGCGCCTCGAGCGCCTTTCCGTCAAAGACGAAAATGACAGCGGACACAATGGCGGCGGCTACTCGAAACCTAAGGTATGAGTCCTGGAGTATGCCTTGTATAGCACATGGCCTGTTAATGCCGTACATCAGAGCTCCCTATCAACAGCCATGTCTCTTTCGGGCCTTGGAGCTGCAGGGCAATATAGCGGCTCCAATCGATCCAACCTGCTGAAGCTGGCTCTTCAAAACACCAATGACAACAAAGTCAATGCCATGAACGTTGCTCAGTCCCCTACAAAGGGCTCCCAGAACACTTTACCGAGTCGCAACCTAGATGAGAATGGAGAACAACGACACCCAAACCCGCTATATGAGCAACCGGCACCCAAGAAACTGCACCTTGGAATGTTTGAGATTGGAAAACCTTTAGGAAAAGGAAAGTTTGGTAGGGTGTACCTGGCCAAAGAGCGGTCCTCTGGTTTTGTATGTGCACTCAAAGTCTTGCACAAATCTGAGTTGCAGCAGGGTGGAGTGCAGAAGCAAGTCCGCCGGGAAATCGAGATTCAGAGTAATCTTCGCCATCCGAATGTTCTAAGGCTTTATGGGCACTTCCATGACAGCAAACGAATCTTTCTGATTCTTGAATTTGCCGGTCGGGGAGAGTTATATAAACATCTTCGCAAGGAACATCGATTTCCTGAATGGAAAGCTGCTCAGTACATCGCTCAAATGGCTGCTGCTTTGAAATACCTTCACAAGAAGCATGTCATGCATCGTGATATCAAACCCGAAAATATCCTAGTCGGCATCCACGGGGAAATCAAAATAAGTGACTTTGGATGGAGTGTACATGCACCCAACAACCGGAGGCAAACAATGTGTGGAACACTGGATTACCTGCCTCCCGAGATGCTCAAGCCGGGCTCACAGGACAATTACTACAATGAGAAAGTCGATCTGTGGAGCTTGGGTGTCTTAACCTACGAGTTTCTTGTTGGAGAAGCTCCCTTTGAGGATACCCCTGTTATGACACAGAGGCGGATTGCAAGAGCGGATATGTCGGTTCCATCATTCGTGAGCCCTGAGGCGAGGGATCTTATCAAACGGGTATGTGAGGCCCAGCCGCCCTTTATGGAGTAATTGCTAATGCCTTCTAGCTCCTTGTTCTGGATCCCGAGAAGCGAATCTCTCTTGATGAAATCCAGCGGCATCCCTGGATCCTTAAACACTGTGTTAAGGATGAGCGAACCGTGAAGCGCAGTTCTGCTTCTGCTTCGTCAAAGGATACCAAACAATAACGTAATACTTATGCATTCATGGCGCTTTGGGTGTTGAGACGTGTGGTCTTCTTGTGATTGGGTTTCGTGCGGAGTGCGTTGAGCATGCTGGAGTTCTATGATTATCTGCTTTTTGCGGCGTCCGGTCCTTTGGCTCTATTATTTAATGATATATCTTTGCAGGTGGCGTATCAAATATTATATACACATAAGTGGCCTCTATCGCAGGACTGCAGCGCTCGGGAAATGGTAGTATCATCGGTAGATCTCGTCAAAGGGTCGGGTGTCTCTAAAACAGCTGTCCCATACTTCATTGACAACCTTCTCTGCATGAGCTTCATCCTTGCATGTTGGCCTTGCTCGTACAGACAAGATAGCTCTTCTCCTGACACACTCTTGATGCTGCTGTGTAAACTTCCACTGGCCCCTCCGGAAGAACTCGCGCGCCCACCGACATTCACCACTGAGGGAGCTGGCTCGAATCTGTTTATTGCGTCAGCCGATGGCTGGGAAGCTCAGGTGATTATAATCCTAGGAGAGTGATTACCTCGGTACAAGCTGCGTGCCGCAGATTGTCCATCCAGTCAACCTTGAATCTCAGGTGATCGTAGGCATGGACCATTTCATGAGCCATTGTGTCCTCCAGATGTCCTTGGTCCTTCATCTCGTTCGCGCAAATTAAGATACCATAATCGGGGTCGAAGCCTCCAGCTTTTCGATTGGTACATCGGCGACAATAAATATTATGGCTATGAAGGTCTCCCCCAAGCTGTCGAATGCTGTCACTCATGAATCGGATTATGGGACCTTGTGATTTCTCGGATTAGCCGTAACCCTGACTAAGTACCCAAGCCTTGCGTATCCGCGAAGAGGCAAAGGGAAATGACTTACTGAACTGTAAGAGATAATCGCGCTGATCCTCGCAACGTTTACAATCAGCGGCCTCATTCCGGATATCCCGGGCAACACGGAATTGTTCTTTCCCTTCATCTGTCATTCGCCCTGCTAGGATGGAGAAGATATTGCGCCATTGCGTCCAGGTATCGTCGCCCGGTATGTAGCCCGTATCCTGATTGCTGGGTTTCGAACCGGTATTGGGAGACTCTGAAGCCGACATTTCGCCTATAAATACAAGGACGAGAAGCCAGCGCAGTGAAATGGATACGGAGGAAGCGCTGCGGAAAGATCGTCCTGGCCGATTTCCGCCATCAGCTCTCCGCATTGGCGGTGAAAGATGTGCCTGGCAAAAAATAGATATTCCCCGGAAAATCACACACGGCAAATGGGATGCCCGATCGAGCTACAAAGACTAGCGCAGCCTGTCTGACATCGTCGCGTCTGGGAGGGAGGTCGGATACCGCCAATCGCCAGTGTCGCCATCAGATGGGTGATTGTGTGAACAATATTCCTGATTAATCAACTGCAACTTCACTTCACAATGGCTTCCAAACGTCTCACGATCGTCATCAAACTAGGTGCGGGGTATCCAACTACAAGCCCGAGCATTTACTGTTACAGATTCGCTAACATCCATTTGTGTTACCAACAGGGACGAGTTCAATCGTGGACGAGAACACCCATGAGCCTATACTGTCGATATTGACCCTGATCGTGGAAACTGCCGCCAAACTTCATCGCGACGGACATAATGTCGTGCTCGTCTCATCCGGAGCTGTCGGCGTCGGTCTACGGAGAATGGATATCGACGAGCGGCCCAAACACTTGCCCCGTATACAGGTAATAAAACACACAATGCTACGGATCGCCTGATACCCAGGAACTGATAAATGAGCTCCAGGCATTGGCAGCGGTTGGGCAATGCAGACTGATGAGTCTTTGGGACGGTCTTTTCTCCCATCTCCGTCTCCCCGTCGCACAGATCTTGTTGACCAGAAACGACATCGCGGATGTAAGTCTACATTCTGGTTCCTGGAGTTTCATATCACGTCTGACATCGGTATAGAGGACACAATATCTCAACGCCCAAAATACCTTCGCACAGTTATTCGACATGGGTGTGATTCCCATCGTCAATGAAAACGACACTCTCGCGGTCTCGGTATGCTTCGGCTAGTTATTCAATGAAGCATAAAAGCAAAGCAAAAGCTCACTCTTTCAAGGAAATCAAATTCGGTGACAACGACACATTGTCGGCAATAACAGCAGCTATGGTCAAAGCCGACTACCTCTTCTTAATGACGGATGTCGACTGTCTATACACGGCTAACCCACGCCACAACCCGGATGCGAAGCCTATCGAGGTCGTCACGGATATTTCATCTTTGGAGGCCGATGTTTCGTCTGCCGGATCCTCTTTAGGGACAGGAGGCATGAGTACCAAGATCGTCGCTGCCAAGTTGGGAACCAGTGCGGGCGTGACCACAATCATCACCAAAAGCTCCAAACCGGGTAATGTTCATGAAATTGTCAGATACCTTCAGCAAACGGAGCAACTTGACCTGGGGTCTGAAGAGTCTTCAGGCTCGCCAGACTTGCCCACTCCGCCCCCACTACACACTCGATTCATTCCCTCGGAAACCCCGATTCAGTCTCGGTCTTTCTGGCTTCTCCATGGCCTGAAACCTCGAGGTACACTATATATTGACCATGGCGCTTATAGTGCCCTCCAGAAAAAGGCTGGCTTGCTTCCGGCAGGTGTTTTAGGGGTGGAAGGACATTTTGGCCAACAGGAAGCAGTACGCCTGGTTGTGGTAGAGAAGATCTCGCCAGACGCTTTGAATGGGGAGTTCCTTCATCATGGCCAGGAGCCGAAGGAAGTTGGGCGTGCCCTAGTCAATTACGGCAGCAGTGAAATCATCCGCATCAAGGGCCAGAGAAGCACACATATTCAGTCACTACTTGGTTATGCAGATAGTGAATATGTGGCTCTTCGAGAAAACATCTCTTTCACACAAAATAACGATAGTCCACGTCACTGAAACGCAAATGCTTCTAACATTTTGCTATCTTGAGAAGGAGAAGGAACGATCGAGGTGCGTTCCAAATGGAGGATTCAAGATAGAAAGTGCACTTTCAACATATCGGTCCTCTTAAGTCAGTGATGCTCGAGTCCCAAACCAAACATCGCTTTCTCCCCAGCCTTGAGATACTGGTTATTGCCGCCGCTCATCGGCGAAAAAGGGATACGGAAGATCGATGAGTAACAGACAACTATATAATCAGAATTGCATATAAAAGAAAGTATAGGCTAAACAATGGAAGATACTAGAGCTTTGCTCATTGTCCAAGAATCAAACATACATTATGGTATATTTAGTAGGCTTGGTGATTCCGATAAACTTCAAGAGGCCAGCGTTGACCAATATAGTAACCACTTTGATGTAAACATACATAGCTGGGAAATGCCTGGAGTTAGGTATAACTCGTATTACCGAGCTCCAATCTGCCAGTCCGGAAACGCCACATACAAGCCATCAATATAAAGAATCATTGAGGCGTAGGACAGGGGGCGTGCTAAGTACGGAGGAAGCCATGGGATGATCGAGCAGCAAGTATTGACAGTCCAGACATTACAAGCCAGAATCGTCATACGCCTCAATCTTTCCATCTTTCCAAAAACCGCTTCATCTTAGTATCTCCGGCATGTGGTGCAGGAGAAGCCTGTGGAAGTGAGTGCCGTTAGCCCAGTTTCGCAAACCTTGAGAAGAGATAAACAGAATCGATATTGACAAGACCCAGCTACGTTATACTTACTGTATTTTCAATACTAACGACGGAGTATGTTTCTGAGGCGGACAGTGTCATCTGAACGGTAGCCTGAGGTAGATAAGTTGTAGCAACGGAATACGCGCTCGTTGGGTATTGGGGGGTTGGTGTTCCCGCCGGAATTGTACTTCCAGGCTTCTTAGCCATGGGTGCGTATCTTGTCGGTCCAGTCTGCAACTGATAGGGAATCGTGAAGGGCCCAGCTACCTGCCTCTTCCGTAGTTCTTCATGATTGTCATTCTCAAGGCCCGAAGGGAAGGAGTCTGTAGGGTACATGGTGGAATGGATTCCATTCAGGACAGTCGGGGAGAATGAGCCGGTCATGTTTGTGAGGGTGAAGCGATCCGAGTAGTTGACCACAGAGGTTTCAGGACCAGAAGCGGCAATCCTAAGGAAACTGCACGAGATGCAATCGTCAGCAGTGAAAGACTTTAACAGGCAAGATCGAAAACCTCTGTCGTGATTTCATGGGAGCATCGGAGGAGGGCTTACTATGCGTTCGCATCATTGCCGCCAACCTCGGGATCAATTTTGAATGAAACTGAATTGCCCCTGGTAAAGAGCGCATCTTTGATGAGGAGAACTACATCCTCCTGTATCGAAGATCTGGGTATTAGTAGGGTTTGCATCAGGGGCGAGAACATTGATAGAGCACGCACATTGGATCCTGCTGTGTCTCCGCCTGCACAAAGATAGAGGTCATACTGTACGAGTGAAGTAATTCGGGGTAATGCGCCAGAATCCCTCCAGTGAGCAGTAACCACATCCCCAGCTCTGATGACCGCACCGGCTGCTGGTTCGATGAATTCGATATCTGCGAAAGCAGTTGAGAGAAGCGATAGCGCAAAGTATACTGTGCGCGCGAGTCTCATTATGGGAAGAACAAGAAAGAGGGGAAGGAAAAGAAATTCAACTGCCAAATAAACGAGCGTGGACAAGTGATTCGAAAGAAGGAAGATGGCTGGAGATGTCTGTTGACACCCTCCCGTCACCCCCTGCAATCAACGGCATGCTGGGAAGCCTGCTGTGCTACCGAAGTATATACCTGTATGTCCCTAGTCGGGAACTATAACGCACGGGCCATGAACCAGGCATAAAGGCACCAAGGCATAAAGGCAAGCACCAGCTTCGGCCAGAATCCCGCTCCGAAGGTGGCATGATCCGTCTGGCCCACCCGCTTCGCTGGTTTCGTTGTCACCGCTGCAATTTCCAGCAACCAACAAGCAACAACTTGGACGTCAGCCAATTTCTGGACAGGATTACAGCTCCTAAACTTTGGTCTACTGATTGGCTGCGTCAGAATTGTTGCTCTAACCAGACCTGGGGAAGACGAGGGACAAGAAGTTCTGCGCTTGCGGATTGGTAGCTTCTTGAATACATACTGCGGAGCTTGACCTGTTCATGCCCTACACAGTCAATCCCCTTTTCACTACTCACCGGATAAGTGAAGAGCCCCTTCGTATCAGTCCTCCGTGGTTCACGTGAGCATCTGTGAAAGATGCAAACTCATGCGAACTGGCAGTCCCTCGAGGGAATAGCTACCAGTCTGCTTGACGGCAGCCCCATTGCAATTGCAGTCACAGTCTTCATTGCATTTGGGCTACCTATTCTGCTGCACCTGATCTTCTACCGAACAGTTGCTTCTCCACCCTCCAGCAATTTCCTACTCCTTGGTCCCAGTGGGGCTGGCAAGACCGCTCTCTTAAGCCTGGTATGTCCAATCGAACTTGGCCTTGCTTTGTGCATTCCCTCTTCTCCTACCCAAGTTGTAGCTTGTGCTAACAGCCTTCTTTCGTCTACAATAGCTTGAGACTAAATCGTCACGTGTTCCTCCCAAAGACTCTCGGCTCACACATACCTCGCAAACGTCTACTGTAGCTACCATCAGCCTTCCCGCCTCCATTCAGACCGCTTCGAACCGCTATCGCTCTGTCAATGACACCTCCCTGAAGGATATCTCCAAGAACCCTGTCAAGTACCGCGTATGGGATACTCCGGGTCATGGAAAGCTGCGGGGATCTCAGGGACTTGCGACGTTGCTGTCAATGTCAACGTCCAAGGATGTAAAGTCCAAGTTGCGCGGAGTCCTCTTTATGGTCGATACGGCTGCTCTTGTTGAGGCTGAGACTTTGCGAGATACAGCTTCATATCTGTATGATGTGCTTTTAGCTCTCCAGAACCGAGCCCTCAAGAAGGGCAAGAATTCCGCGAAAGCAGCCTCGGAGATCCCCGTTCTCGTGGTGGCCAACAAGCAAGACCTTTTCACTGCCTTGCCTCCAGGGTCAGTGCGTGAAAAGCTAGAGGCTGAGATTGACAGAATCCGGAAGTCCAAGAGCAAAGGTCTCATGGATGCTAGCGCCGGCGCTGGAGTTGATGAGGGCGAAGATGATATCCTGGGAAGTACTGACACTCGGATCAAGTTCACCTTCCGAGGCCTAGAAGATGAAATTGGGTTGACTGTTGACATTGTCGGCGGCGCAGTCAAGAGTGATGAGGAGGGCAACCTCGGGGCCGGCGTCAGAAAGTGGGAGGAATGGATTGGCCAACGCCTCTGAACTGAATGTTCGTATATTACTTGGGCCAGTGACAGTGCTACTGGCCCTAGAGATGGGATGAAACGATACGAGATATATCTTGAAAAATTGCATAACTCCTACACACAATCCAGACAGTCCATGTAAGTCCTATGCGCCGGAACGATCCCCATGAGCAGAGACTGGAACCCTTAGTATCATGATATACCTGAAATATAGCCAAAAAGTTCAATGACCGTATTAATTTTGACGGATACATCTCGGAGCAGTTGCTATTAGGTCTCTTGTTGCCAATGAAGGCCCAGATGCTCTGTTACCTTGATATCTATCCAATCCTGTATGCAGTCAGAAATCCGAGGAGAGGAGTCAGGGACAGAGAGGGCAGAATGCTAGAATACGTACCCAAAGGTCGCGGGCGAGAACCGGGTCATTACCAATGTCAGTCGTTGCGTCTGGCTTGGCAATCGGAATGTAGTATTGGCCGCGAATACCATCAACACGAATCTGATCACTTGTAGCCAGATAGACGGCGGTGGCCGCTCCGTCTTGTGTACTTTGCCCGATGATTGAAAAGATATAACGGAAAACTGCACCGAGAGTAGTTCCTACATACTCGTCCCAGGCTTTCCATTGCTCTGTGACAATGTTCCCAGGGAAGAAAACATTCACGTAGATATTGTTAGCGTTGGGTCCTTCTTGCTCAATTCGACGAGCGAGTTCTCTCGTAAAGAGAATATTTCCCAACTTGGAACGACAATAACGCCAGAAGCCATCAATATACGGGTGCATAGGCATCACACGTGTAGGCGTGGTAAGCTGGTTAAAGTCCAAGGTGCGGCATACCGAGTGCAGCGAGGAACTAGTGACAACAACCCGGGCTTCTCTGGATTCACTATACTGGTTTGCTGTGCGTTTCAGAAGTGGTAGGAGCAGGGTGACCAATTCCTGGTGGCCAATGCAGTTTGCCGCAAAGACCATTTCCACTCCCTGGGGTGATCGTTCGTAGTTGGTTGTGACACCAAGGCCTATAGAATGTGTTTAAGAACGATCGATCAATGCCGCTAGTTCGTTGAAGATGTAGTATGAAAGTGAAGGTGGGGGGAGAGTGGTGGTATAGCAGGTGTCATACCGCCATTGCAAATAAGGATATCTAGTCGTCGTGTTATACTTCTGACCTGATCAGCTGCTTCCTTCATGGCAAAGATATCACCCAAATCACATTGGATGAAAGTGACTCTTTTGTCGTCCTTCCCTAGGTTGATATGACGACGTTGCCATTCTTCTTTGGCTGCTAGGAATTTGTCACTGTTCCGACCGAGGACCAAAACTCTGTCGATATCATGAATAAGGAGCTGGGCGGTGATCTCTGATTTAACATTATATAATTAGGAAAGCTGATCCAAGACTCGGCGTGGGAGGAGAGACGACATGTGTAGCGATAACTAGTAGGGTAGAGAAGAGCTGGTTACCTCTTCCTATGCCTCCGTGACCACCCTGTTAATTGTCGTGTTAGCGATAGTCTCCTGCAGGACTGTGATATTTTGATTTCTAAGTTATAGTACTGCAACTTTTCATATATATTTCGGTAACGAATAGTAGACATACTGTTACCAGAGCCACCTTCCCATCCAACGGCGGTGTGTCCCGTAAGGAGAATTCCCTATATGTGAATAAACCTGTCATTATGGATGTTAGTATCCGAAGGAAGAGACGATGTATAGTTAAGAGGGATCTCCATCGCTGGCCATCCTTTGGGAGTACAATTCGGATTTATGTTGCTATTTAATATCGAAACCGGTGATTTGAGTTACATAACAGTGGACCGGAGACGTCATTCTAGGCCTCTGTTACATACGTCAGTCCTACACACATGTCAAGATGCGCCAACTTAACGGTAGTATTTGATTGCTCGTTTGACCTGAACTATCTAGCTTTGTTCCAATTAACTCCATACCGCCCATGGCACAGCCTTCGTTATATGACTGGATGACTCGAGAACTGTGTGCCGGAGGGCATCCGCCCAAGAAAAGCAATTGGAGATATAGTTGATACTCTCCAACTTATAGCATACCGGTTGAAAAAATCAAGTTACAAGTCGCTAGAATATTATAATATTAGTTACCCGAGTTTCCATTGTTGTCGTTGTGAAGCATCCAGGTGAGGAGATCGACCTTGGTCGCCACCGCAACCGGCTTCATGGCACCTTGGTCATCTCGCTCAGTAACAACAGCTGCGCTGTTCCATTCAAGGAATCGGTTGAGAACGCTCAAAGGCGTATCCATGGTGATCTCCACGAATTTCCGATCTCTGATATGGGGTTTCGCGTCAGCACTACCGTTCTGGCCGGCCTGCGAGCTGGCAAGCCCCATATCTCTGGGATCGGTGACAATTTCCGGAATCCTGCTGAAATCGAACATAACATCAGCAACCGGGCTCTTCCCGGTAGCACGTCCATGGGTCAGCCGGCTGAGAACATTTCCAAGGGTAAGCAGTCCGACAAGCTTCTTGCCGGAAGGAGCAAGAACGGGCAGTTGGTCGAAACCTCTGTCGCGCATCATTTCAATGGCGATTTCACAGGGGATGTTGGATCGGACTGTTGTGATGGGCTTGAGTCTCAGGGCCTTGACCTGTGAGCCGGCGAAGGCATCGCTCTTCGCCTGTGGCTGTAACGCCGGGAAGGATGTGGGTTCAGGAGTCGATGACAGAAGACCATTCGCAGCGAGCCAGTCGTCATCGGCAAACTGTACGAGATTAGAGGACTCATCAAAAACAGCCTAAGAGTACATAAAGACTTACTTTGGTAAGATAACTTCTGATGCTGTCGGGCAGGACGACGACAATCACGTCATCCTTCGTGAATCTGTTATCCTTCGCGGCTTGCGCCAAAGCGGAGATGGCACTTCCACTGCTTCCACCAACAAGAAGACCTTCCTCGGCGATTAGCCGCCGAGAGAATTGGAACGACTCTTTGTCAGCGGTCTTGTACCATTTGTCAACTGCCTGGCGATCCAAGACCTCGGGGATGAAATCATATCCGATACCCTCGACCTTGTAGGGCTCGTTCACATGCTCGTCGTTCAGCGCAGCAGGAAGTGCCAAGATGGATCCATGGGGGTCTGCTGCAATGACTTGGATATCGGGGTTGTGCTTCTTGAGGCCGCGAGAGATACCAGTAATCGTTCCACCAGTGCCAGCACCGGCGACAACCGCACTAATCCGACCTTCTGTCTGAGTCCAGATTTCCTCTGCGGTTCCAAACTCGTGGGCAAGGGGATTGTTCACGTTTCCATACTGGTCCAGAATGTGCGCATTCGGAAGCTCTTTCTCCAAGCGCTTTGCGACGCCGATGTGAGATTCCGGGGAGTCGAATGCCGCTTCGTTGGGAGTACGGATGATAGTAGCATTCAAGGCACGCAAGACGGATACTTTCTCGGCGGACATTTTTTCAGGCAAAGTTATGATAGTCTTGTAGCCTGCATACTCCGGGAAGATTATTAGCCGAAAAGATCCCAACTTAGAGATTCTGGATCAACCAACCCTTGACGGCCGCAACAAGAGCTAGACCGATACCACTAGTGATAGGAAAGAAAAACATATGCGTTAGAGCACGACCTTTGAGAACATCTGCGTGAATTGCACAACGGGACCTACGTGTTACCGCTAGTAGGTTCGATCAAAGTATCGCCAGGCTTTATGCGCCCAGATCGTTCCGCTTCTTCAATCATGCGCAAAGCGATGCGATCCTTCACGCTCCCGCCAGCATTGAAATATTCACATTTGGCGTAGACGGTGGCTTCGATTCCCAAGCTGCGCGGAATCCTGTTTAGCTTAACCAAGGGAGTATTGCCGATATTCTGGGTAATCGTATCAAGGGCCACCGGGGGACCGGCCGGGGTGGTTATCGTGGACATGGTAGGAATCGGAGAGAGCTGATCTTCGTAAACTGGGTTAACCGTGAGGAAGAGAAGCTATGAAGAGCAATTGAGGGCCGTGTGCGACTATATTAGGGGTATCAGAAGTGAGGAAATGAGACAAAAAAAAAGAAAGAAAATTTGGCAAGGCAAAAAATCTCGTAACAGATTGGTGGTATACCCCTCCCGACGGTAACCGTTTACGCTGTGCCAGTGCCACCCAACCGCATTCGCCATATCGCTCAAGTTCACGAAATTTCTTGCATAAGCACCACGTGATCGCTGTGTTGTTTGACATGTAAAGTTAATAGTTGGGCTACATGAGATAATGTCACAGTTAGGAGTTGTCGTCATTAGAGGCTTGGAGTATGGCAATTGTTCACCTGACACAGAAGGATTATGATAACGGGCGATCTCCCTCATCTCATGGAATTTAGCTTCTTCCATTTCTTCCACAACTTGGTGGAGGCAAGGTGGGTATTTACACGCACCACCAATCAGAAAACACAACCCCCCATGTAAGTACCATGTACAGAATATCTCTACCTACTCCGTAGAACCATAATCACATTCTAGACTAGTGGTAGATAGCAGATCCCGGAAGAAAATAAGGTACTCCAATAGGCACCACATGACGACAAGTCCCTACTTACGTATTCTGTGTAGATCAAATCAGTGTTAGTCCTATGTCAGATCTAAGTATTAGGATAGAGAGGTGTATGGGTAAGCCTTAAATACAACATCGATGAAGGAATACTAAACGGCATTTCAACAGTCGTCGTCCCAGGGGCTCTTTCCTTGCAACCAGCAATAATATACTACCTTCAGTCTCGAAGAAGGTACTGACCAATAAAAATGACATCTTCTATCAGCGGGGGAGTTCTCTCAGTGATTACATGTGGAAGATAGGCATTGCATTAGCCTAGATTCTTAATTTGCTCTCGGTGATCAATAGGGAGTGTGTAAGTAAGAGAGCAAGAAAGAGGACACTCGGAGTGAGTGACGTGTGGCAGGCACTAACAACAATGTCATCACGTAGGATACTTGAGTTAAGGGTTAAGAGCCACGGGTCCTGGCTGGGCCCCTGATCCAGGACGGCGGAGTCCCATTTGATTGTTTAATTTGCCTTTTCGTCGCAATTCCGGTTCAATGCTGGGGTCTGTTGTAAGGTTCCACTCTTTTACTCTACTCATACGGAGTACTACAGTACACACAATGTTTGCTTTTCCAAATCGCGATGAGTCCTTCCACTGCATCCTCCATCCCATTGATACTTGCACTCACATCAACTTAATAGCTGTAAGATAGGATTTGTAAATTACTACCATCTATATTGTTGTGTTGTGAGATTTCGAAGGAGGACATGATGCTTGTGTCGAGATTTGAGACATTTTGTCAAGCCAGCACAACTGCCGGGAAGTTTGCGGGAGCCCGCCAAGCTAGGCGATATTTACCGCTTGCTCTCAACCTTCGGTGAGTCCCCACCTGGAGGAGGCGAGCTGCAGGATTCGACGCGAGTCAATCGTGGCTGTGTATCCGGTATCGACAATGCGTGAACCGGCCCCTCCTTGGAGTAACGACTACTTACGATACAGAGCCCAAGGTCATCTAAGCCAGCATGCTTGACACAACCGCGTTGCCAGAGGATACAGCAGATCTCTCCTATACATACTATGTATCAGTCATACGGGAGACATCGGCAATACCCGACAGGATAGGAGCAAAATCCGCTCCGGAGCATACAGCGGGATGATAATCACCCAGCAGCTGACGGGTCTGTTGAGTGTTGACAGCTTATTTTTTTTTTCTGGGTGAGCCTTTAACAGCTCACCTGCCGAAGCGCCACGGCTCCATCCAGAGGCCGCACTCCGATGCTCATAGGCTCGCCAAGACCACAGCGTGGGCACAATGTTTCGAACTTGGACAACCCAAGGGTAAACTAAGGAACTCGGGGATCGCCTCAGCTGAAGGGACCCAATTCTCCTGAGTGTCTGTCTTTACAGATGCACTCTGGTGATGTGCAGCGAAATACCGTCCAGTGTTTTTGTAGAAGTTCTGGAAGGGAAAACAGTCCGCAAAATCCGGCATACAATACTTCCTATATGCCATACTATGTAGAATCTTGGTTGCACTGCTTGAGTGGATCTAGATCTCCAGAATAATCGCGATCATGATCAGCGGGAAATAGAATATGAATGATGTTAGCTGAGGGTGGTCTGGTCTACATATTAACTTTTCCTTCATGCAGACAGTCCCAGCCCCAGAAATTCCCCTCGTGTCTTTCACTTTCTATTAAAGGAATAGTACACAATGACACTCGTCTGCCACATCTGCAAAGCCAAGCATATTCAGCTGAAACTCCTGTTATTCATTTTTTCTTCTTTTCTTCTAATGCTATAGATCCACAGTTATTATCCCCCGTACATAATCTCCGGTGTCCATGCACTATCTTGCTTGTCCTCTACTCCCGTTCTCTTTCGTCTATCCTTGGCTTTGGGCCTCAAGTCACCCTCTGACTATGCCGATGTGTGCCTGAGCTTACTAGAGCATGTATGCCGGGATAACCCGCCTTTGCTTTATCTCACTATTGGTTTCATTGAGGAATTTGTCTACCTTGCTCGCTGAACATACCTTATAGAAGCCTGTGTCCGACCAGTGAGAGCTTGATTCTGGCCGATCATCGAGACAACCACCTTCGCATTCCCCCAGACAATGGCCTCCAACATGGATGGTGGCAGACGGAAGTCACGATCTTCTCAGAAAGGAGACCCTTCACAACATGATGGAATATTGACACCGGATGCTACGCGATCGGCTTCGAAATCGCAGTCGCAGAGCGGTACAATATTACCGACTCACAATGAGAAAGGACACCGACGGCACCACAGTCTGTTTCGAATCGATACCGCTGGAGAAAGTGGGCGAACTGGCGTCCATCCACTTCACTTCCTGCGCGTTTGTTTTCGGAGTACCTGTACTCTTTCCATGCTGGTGAACGTCCTCTGGCCTTTCGTCCCCGCTGCGATTGCACTTCACTTCGCTCGACCGGATCTTCATGTTTGGGTATTTGCCCTCAACTATATCG